ATGAAAAAATTTATTAACAATAAAACTAAACAATACTACTGATGGTCCAAAAGTTATAAATTACAGCTTTGGCAGAAAAGTTAAAAGATATTTAATTAGATTCCCTATTCGTAATGATTTCCCTTTTTTTCTGCATAGTCCATGTCTACATTCTAAAAGAGTTTGTCTATATAAATTCAATCTTTATAAGAAAAAGAAAAATATTTTTAAAATGTATGTTTTATGCTTGTCTTTCATTCTGCTTTGGTTTTTATGTGAGGCATAAAAACCAAAGCAGAATACTTAATATATACATAAAATTTATACACTTTTAACCGATTATTGGTAATAAAATCATATCACTCATTATGATAAATGACTAGATATCAACCAACGTAATAGATGGTTAGACATTAGTAAGTGGCTAAAAATGAGATTTTTTGCAAACCCGGCCCCGGCAAAATCAAAAGATTTAGCAGGGGTTGATAACCAGGGCTGGAAAAAAATTTAAAATACTTAATGTATAATAATTTCATGCTTTCATTTACTGTTTATTAAATACTGGCATACATTTATATACTCTTAAACTCTAATTTATTTCCAACTAGATTGTAAGCAACCACTATTAAGTTATGAGTTTAAAATTTAAGAGAATAAGAAATAGAGACTTTAAAGTTAAAATAAATTAAAATAAGAACTTAAAATAAGAATTTAACGTATAACTGAAGACTTAAAAAGTTGTAAGTTGTATAAAAAAGGAAAACATGAAGATGGGTAAGAGTTATACGGTTTTTTTGATGTGCAAGAAAAAAAACTGTATTAATAAAAGTTTTTTTTAGCATGAAGGGTCAGATACAGTTAAAGGGTGCAACTTGTTGAATAAAAAGCCAAGCAAGAATGAGTTTTGATTTATCGTTATAAAGATGATAGCTCGTTTGAGCATTGACCATGACTGTATATGTAGAAAAAAGAAAGAAATGCAACCTTACAACAATGGGAGGGTGGCTCAAGCTTGGCAGATTTAGAAGGTTTTATTACTTTAATAATGTGCTGTAGACTTTGTCTGAGAGTAAGAGGGTTTGTCAATATAGGAATGCCAACAATATTGCAATTTTTTTTGCATTAAATAAATGATTTTTGTTGTCTAACAAAAATTGTGGATTTCAAGTTCAGAATTTAAAGCCATAAACCACTGTATCTGTTTATGGCTTTAAATTAAAAACCAACCGCATCAAGCCATAAATCGGCTGCTTGTTTTGAGCAATTCAAAAGTGAAGATTTTTAGTCAAGACAAAAGTGTAAAGTTGAGTCGTCAAAAAATAGAGTCACTTAAGATTTCTGGAAGATTGTTCTTGTAGATAAGAAACAATACAGGAGCAAAGATAGAACCTTGTGGTACCCTTAAAAAAAAAGAGGGTAGGCCTTCAAGAATAACTTTACTACTTCAGTTAGAAAGAAAAAGTTTAATAACCGTAAAAACTTTATATAAAGAAACAGAGTGAAGACTAATTTAGGATCGTTGGAGAGGTCAAAGTATTTTCTAAAGTTTTGAAAAATTGGAACCACTTATTTAATACCAGACAGTAACTTTTTACATTGACTTCTTACATTAATAAAAGAACATTTGTTCTTAAGAGAGATGTTTTTGTAAAAAAGTTGAAAAAAAAAAAGATTGTTTAATAAAGCGACTGATCAAGATAGTAAAAAAAGTGAAGTAGAATGAGGCTTGACTTATACAGTGGCGTAACTAGGGAGAGTATAAAACCGCAAGGCAGGGGGGGAGCCCGGAGCTTAGAGGGCCCCGCGGAGATTTACAAATTTTACTCATATGAATAATATGACTGGTAATAATAATATGAGTGTTACTAATTTCTGTTTTATCAAATACATTTTATGAATTTATAATTTTTCACGTATCCTTACGGGCATTTTTTTAAAAAAGTTACTCTAATATAGAACGTTTAGAATTTCTAAACGTTGGAAAACTTAAAGTAAAGTAAAAAAGTAAAGAGGCCCCGTTTACTTTTTTGGTGGAGGGGGGGGGGGCTCCAAATTTCTAGTTACGCCACTGGACTTATAATTGAAGAGAAGGATAAAAGCTTCCAAAATTTTATTTCAGAAGGAATAAAAGCTTCCGAGATGCACTTTATGCATACATATTATGGATATAAACAAAAGCTTCCACTTAAACAGATGCCATTTATGCATGCATTATTAAAAAAATTAAAAAAATTAAAAATTAAAAGCTATATTATGAATACAAACATATATGCTTGCTATTTATTTAGATGCTGGCATACAATATCTTTTCATTATTATATAAACTTTAGTACTTATATGGTGTAGTATTTGCCAAAAGAAAAGATGATTACATGGATGTTTGGTGTGACTCTAGCAAGACAAGAAAAGAAGACATCATTTTAGACAGATTAGAAAAAATGTATAGAACAACGTTTGTTAGAAAAGATTTAAGTAATTAAGGTATCAGCATGTAGAGAGGTAGCAGCTTCAGTAGAAAATGGTAGTGATAGAAGTAACAAAACTTGAAGAGAGTGCCTTACATATTGTATGAATTAGCTTTAGTTAAGAAAAAAAATGCTCTAGATTGTTTGAGAAACAGCATAAAAAAGAAAGACTAAAGCCTGATGATGATGATGATGATGATGATGATGATGATGATGCTGATGATGATGATAATGATAATGAGCATCATCATCATCATCAAGCCTGACGATAATGATGATCATAATCATGATCTTCAGGCTTTAGCCTTTCTGTTTTATGCTGTTGGTGATGATCATCATGATGATGATCATGATTATGACGATAATGATGATAACAATGATAATTATGATGATCATGTTGATCATAATGTTTATATACGCATATATTGGGTTGACTAATAAGTAATGGCCGTTTTTTCAATTTGAATTGGCGCGTGAATAATAAAGTGTTTTGGCATATTGTTTTGTTGTTATTCGAAAGAGCTTTCTTTTCTCTATAAGATAGTATATGAGATTTTTTTGTTGACCTTAACTTTTTTTTATTTTCAGATCATTGAAATGGAGTGCCAAGTTGACAAAACCGAGCATTTTTGACACCTACTTCTTTTTGCGTTCAATCAAGGTGCTACAGCCGCAAAAGCTGCTAGTGACATTTGTGCTGTGTACGGAGAAGGCTCTATGCATGAAAGAACTGCTCGAAATAGGTTTGCTAAGTTCAAAGACCGCAATTTTGATCTTAAGGACGCACTTTGTTCTGGGCGACCAGTCGAATTTGATGAAGAGTGTTTGAATCAACTTTTGCATGAAGACGCGCGCCGAACCACTCGGAGTTGGCAGAGAAGATGGGATGCGTGCACGGCACTGTTGAGCTTCACCTTCACTCGATGGGGAAGGTTCAAAAGTTTGGCGCGTGGGTTCCACATGCATTGAGCAAAAACAACAAAAATCAACGTTCCACTATTGCCGCCAGTTTGCTCGCCCGTCATTGCTTGCTCGCTCAACTCATGGAACAAGCAAAGATTCCTTTATCGATTTGTTACGGTGCCTGTATATCAATATGAAGCAGCGCAAAGAATGGTTCAACCCGGAAAAAAAAGCGACACCGCGAAGGAAGCAAGATCTTCATCCTTGAAAGACTCTGGTGTGCTTTTTGGTGGGACTGGGAAGGCATTATTCACAATGAATTGTTTGACCGGAACCAAACAGTGAATACAGATCTTTATGTTCAACAGATGCACCGCCTCAACAACCCTATTCAACAAAAACATCCCAATCGACAACATGGTGTTCTTCTTCAACACGATAATGCCCGACCACATATTGCCAATTTGACCAGGGAAGCTATTCTGACGCTTGGTTGGTGCTACTGCATCCTCAATATTCTCCGGACTTGGAGCCTTCAGATTTTTATCTCTTCCGATCGCTTTCTAACACTTTGCGCGGCGTTTCTTTCAATAATAACGTCGTATTGCAGGCTTGGTTGGACGAATTTTTTGAGTCGAGAGAGATTTCTACCGAAGAGGCATTGAACAACTCGTGGAATGATGGGAACAGGTCGTAAACAACAACGGAGAGTATATTATTGATTATATTTTTGTTAATTATTGTTGAAAAATAAAACTAAAAAAAAATGAAAAAAACGGCTATTACTTATTAGCCAACCCAATATATACAAAATATAACATGAATTTTGAATAAAAAAAATATTCTTTAGGATGTATAAATGTTTATTCAGCTTTATTCACAAACCCGGCTCCGTTCCCGGCTAAATTTTATCAAACCCAGCCAAAGCCCTGGTCAAAAATCAACCCCGGTCACTTCCTATTAGATATCAACCAAAATGGTAGATGATTAAACATCAGCATCTAACTTTATTATTATTATTATTATTATTATTATTATTATTATTATTGCTATTATTATTATTGTTATTATTATTATTACTTATTACTATTTTTTTAACACTACATTAAATTAAATCTAAATTAGAATATTAATAAAGTATTCTTCAGGAAGTATTTCATATTTAAGATTAGGTTAGGGGCTATTCTACAGGGGTTGTGGGGGTGGACACCCCTCTTTATATCAACTATTCTCACCCCCTAAAGAAGGTCATTTTTTAATTATAGTTTGTTTTTTTGAGGAGTAAAGTTGGTTAATCAGGCATTTAACAAATTTCAGTCAGGTGATTTTGGTTTTAGGGACGTTTTATTATTTATTATCATTTTTATTTTTATGATTAGAATATTTTTTAAGGATTTGCTTACTCCTACCTCATTTTATACTTAGAATCGCCCCTGGATTAGGTACCAAAAACAAAATAATTTCTAAAAGTTACATTTGTGTGTTACAATTGTGCAGCTTGCAGCATACATGTATTTAAAACATTTCTAATACTTTTTTTTACTATTTTTTAAAAATTTCTGGACATTTTTTTAATCAAAAAATCAAAACGGAAAATTAAAATGATAGCAATAAATGCTAAAAAAAACAAAATAAAAGCGATGTTAAAATTACCTGTATCTTTGGCAATAGCACTTGTTAATGTTGCCACCAAACACCAATTAAATAACACATATAACACCATTACTTAACAAGAAAAATACCATCACTTAATTAGAAATATTAATTTTTAAAACTAAGTACGCGCAATTTAAATTAACTGATTCCATAAAAATAATTATTTTGAACGTGCTAGAAAAACTATTAATGCAGATTTTAAAATATTACCTTATATTGAGTATATTATAAAACCCCTGGCTGGAATCCGCTTGCTTGACTTCATATTAGTATGAACAGCCAGCTGGGATACTCATCTGCTGCAGCTATTTGTTTGAACTTTTTTTTAAATTGGAAATTTATAGGTAATTAAATTTAAATATTAACCAATAAACATTATTGTAAATAATATTTATATACATAATGTAAATTTTCGTTAAATGTTATTTAAAATGTTATTTTTTAAAGTTTTTAAAATTAAAATTAAGCAAAACAATAATTTCATTAAAATTATTGTTTTGACTTTAGCTGTTTTGTTTGAAATCAAGTCTTTTTAACTTTTACTAAAAATTTTTAAAAGAAGTTGTTTACTTTTGTAAACAATTCGAGACAAGTGGAATAGTTGTTTACTTTTGTAAACAAGTATTTGAGACTACAGCACTTTTCCACATCAATTTTTCACAATTTAAATCTATTATTTTAGTTCTAAATCTAGTTCTTTGATCTCACTTGAGCACCAAAAACTGAAGTGCTCAAGTGATTAACAATTTAAATTGTGAATTGTGACTAAAATTCGTGAACACTGTCTAAAGCGAAACGTGTCTGAGAAGTGACTTTTTAATTTTGATTTGTAATTGTGAATTGTTTATCAACGTTTTTCATTTATTATTTTATTATATTTTATCATCTATTTCATTTTGCTTTGATTTTTTTTTACAAACAGTTACGATACAATTGTGATCAGTTTTAAAAGGTTACGCAAAACTTGTAATCATTTACTTTAAATTAAAATTTTGTGATTAGTTACGCAAAATATGAAATTATTAAAGTAAAATAAATAACTATTATTCCAAAATTTTATTTCCAAAAAGTTCTTTATTTTACATAAAAGTATAAATCAGCAGTTTTAGTTTATACCTTTTGTAGGTCTGTGAAAAAACTAATAGACAAACTTGCCGTATGCGATGATTGTTAAAAGGGTGAAGCTTATTCTAAATTTTCAAAAACCTTTATTTCAATTTTTATTTTTTTGGAATTTTTGTTTTAGATGCCTCAAGAAGACCTAACTACCTTGTTACAGAGTGCCGCGGGAAAGCTACGAAGTTCACGCCACTTTCCGATAGAGCAAAGTATGATCAGAGATAGCTTCGAACCCTGGAGCTCTTACTTCGTAAGCAAGCATTCTAACCACTGCGCCACGAGTGCTAAATTGTAAGGATTTATTTAAAAAGTGCCCTCCCTGACTCCCTTACTCTCTGACATTTTAGTTAAAACGCACAGATGAAATAATCTGTAAAATTATTGAAGTGATAATAAAAATTATTCCACGGCTTAATAATGCAAAAATCATAAAGATAACTACAAATACAGCAAAATGAACGGAGCTTTCAATACGCAAGAGACTTACAGACGCTTAGATTTAGTGTGCAGATTATTTCATGAATACTACCTTGATTAAAGCGTTTCATAAAAGCTTGATTTGATATAACTTGATATAATGTTTGAAATGTGCAACGTTGTATTGAGCATTATAAGCATTTTTGTTTAATTATTTTATTCAACTCTTTAATAAAAAGTTCACCAAATGATGATAGGTTGAGAGACGAATTTTACAAACTTTGACTTCTTTTAAATGAACACCTTAAGTTGTCTATTGCTCATTTTTTATCAGCTTTTTCTCGGAATTTTTTTTAATGTTTTAATTATTGGCATCAGATGATCAAGTTCTTTAAATATGTTCATTTATGGTGTCTTCCAAAACTTTGTTCAAATTTTTAAAGTTGATTCCAGCATTATGTCGTGTGAGTTCAAGTTTTCTCTCCTGGCTAGATGATGTTGCTCTCCAGCTTGATGAAGTATTGTGCTAATGTTTTTGTTGCAAGTGAATTTTGATATCTTTTTTTTGACCAGTAGCTTGTTTTGTTCTATGCCAACTATTTGATTCTTTCAATATGTTTGCAATGACTTATCAACTCTAAACTTCACATTGAAAAGTTAAAAATTAGTCAGACACTAATTTTGTACTCCCCCCTTCCCACCCCCTCCTTCCGTCCTTAGAATTGATAAAAATCTAAGGAAGGGGATAAACTTAACACAGCATGTTATTGGGTGCATGCGATAGTGTTGTAGTGGTAGAGTGCTCACCTCATAAGCGAGAAGTTCCAAGTTTAATCCCACCACGTCCTTGGTAGTACCGCGCTCAACTTGTTTTTCCGCGCAGCGACCTTGTTCGTCAAGTTTCGTGTTTCGGAGTTAAATAATTGAGAGAGGGTTATAACTACAACTAAAAAAAAAGTAGCCTTCTCGACAGTAGTGGCCTTCTTGGCCATGGTGAGGTGATTTGAAAAAAAAATTATATATATATATATATATATCGTTTTAAAAAAAATAGATTAATTTGAATAGGGTGTTAAAAACGATATGAAATTTCAATAAAATTAGAAAATGAGAATTATTACCATTAAAAACGCTTTCCCCTCTTCCCACACCTTTACCAGATGGTCTGAATTCACCGAAAAAAACCCCACGTTTTCTAAAGATAATTTGGATCCGCCCCTGCCCTTTAGAAAAAGTATTGCTTTGTTAAAAAAAATATTTCAAAACCAATTTTTGTGGGTTTGGCTTTAACAATTTGTTCTAAAACATCCCACTCTTTTAAATCAAATCTTGGAAAATATATTTTATAACTTTTACTAAAAAACAAGACGATGAAACTGAGAATGCTAAAATTTTATCTTGCATTTTAGGTTGCATTTACAAGAATTTCTAACAAGTTTTTTAAAAGAAATGATACACTTATTCTCTCACATAGTTATTTTTGGCGAAAGCTTGAAAGGTTTTTTTGCTTTCTGATCTGCCATTCTGCAACCGTTTTTCAAAATGCCTTTAGATAAAAAAAATCAACTTTGGCTTTTTTACAAAAAAAGCTAGTTTAGATGAATACAAACGTTATTGAAATAAATATTTTGAAAAAATAATGAGAAGGTTTATAAAAATTATTTGTTCAAAAAAAGTTTTACAAAGAGCTTCTCCTTACAATCTTTTTCTCATTGCGTTTTTCTCGAAATACGTAATAAGCATCTTAATGCGTTTTGAAAACCGGCTACAGCATTAGACATGCAAAAAACTAGTCTGAGCAAATTTAATTTAACATTTCAATGGAAATATTTTGCATATTACTAAAGCAGAGATTTATGGAAATATTTTGCATATTACTAAAGAGAGATCATTTTGTACTTGTTCTAGTAAATACTGATTTAATTCTAAGCTTCTTGAAATTCCGCCCATAGAACTCGATATTGGAAATTCTTATCGTGATTCTTTAATAAATATTTTGAATGAATGTGAAATGAAAAAACAAATGTAAAGGGTTTTTGCTTTAACACAGCTCCAACTAGTACTAAAAAACATTCCGGTACAAACATTAGATTTTGTCAAACACAGGATTCTATTATATAAAAGCTTACATGCTATATAATAGAAGACATATTCACACGTTTCAATGCAAACATTTTTGTGGTTACTTCACACGTTTCACTGTTTTTCAAACTTTTCAACATATTTGGAAACAAGTTTATACAATTCAAACTTATGCTCCTGAAAATGTAATCTTTTAGAAATTTTAAGCAAACTTAAATACATCAAACTTTAACTGCAACTTCATCGAATTTTGGCTTATCACGGAGAAGCCAAAATTTGATGAAGTTACAGTTAAAGTTGCTTACCATGACTTACGTATAAACAATTTTTAGAAAAATTTTAAAAGTATATAAAAATTAAAGATATACAAATTAATGATATAAAAATTAAAGATAAAAAATTTCTAATTATTTCTATTATAAACTTTAATTAAAATTTGTAACTAAATAACAATTTAGTTACAAATTTTAATCAAATAACGATTTAATTATAAACTTTAATTGAAATTTGTAACTAAATAACAATTTAGTTACAAATTTTAATCAAATAACAATTTAATTATAAACTTTAATTGAAATTTGTAACTAAATAACAATTTAGTTACAAATTTTAATCAAATAACGATTTAATTATAAACTTTAATTGAAGTTTGTAACTAAATAACAAATTAGTTACAAATTTTAATCAAATAACGATTTAATTATAAACTTTAATTGAAATTTGTAACTAAATAACAAGTTAGTTACAAATTTAAATCAAATAACGATTTAACTACATATTTAAATTAAATAATGATTTAATAAATAAGGCAGCATAAAAAAGTTGAGCCTAAATTAATGTCTTGCCAGTTTTAAAATTTCCTTGAATTGCTTGAAAAAATAAATTTATGTTTGTGGAGCTAAAAAATCTTGATTTGGCTGTGCTCGCATTCTAAATCTCTACGCCCTAAACGCACTTTATCATATATGGTTTTTTGTAAAACAAATGTTGTTACAGTTGCCCACAAATAAAATACTAGAAAAAAATGTTTGACAATATTCCAATACATTTAGCTCAAAGTAAAGGCAAGAAGTTTTATCATGCAAGTCAAATCAAATTTTTATCATGCAAGTCAAATCAAATTTTTATCATGCAAGTCAAATCAAATTTTTAGCAGACTATACTTATCATTCTTGTTTTTGGATTGGATTTGTTTGAGAAATTAATGCCTTAAACTTATAAAGCTTTCAACCTGTTTCATTGAGAATGTTTTTAACAATAATCGAGCAAATGCGTTTACATTGGGGGATAGGTTCGAGAAATATGAGCATCTAGGTGATATGGCCATACCAAAATATTTCTCCGCTGTGAGCAGTAAATTTCAAGTTGCTTTATATTTTTTAAATTGACTTTATGTGATGAAAAAGAAGCATAATTTAGCGTAAAGAAGCATAATTTAGCGTAAAATTATACGCAGTAATAAGCTGCTCTCATCTAATTAAAACGCTGTTCAATTTTTTGTATTGTTAAAATATTGTCATTACACATGAAAAAAATCTATGGTGCGAAATTTTGATATT